CGGGTGGCAACAACTCACTGTGCATTTACAGTTAACCCTCCATTACAAATCTCGTAAGTACAGCATAGAATGTTGATAAAGCATGATAATGTGAAAAATTGTATCTGTAATCTCTATGTACAATTTAGTCTCTATGGGGTGACACCACAATGGGATCTCACACCGCCTCAAAATCTTCCTAGACCAGCCTCTGGTTCAGTCCGTGGAAAAAGTTTTCTTTCCAATTCGGCCCGGGGGCAAAAACTGTTGGCCACCCCTGGTATAGCCTGATCTCACACCAAGTGACTATCACCTGTTTTTGCATATTAAAAAAATGGCTTTCTTTTTTTTTTTTGTTTTTTGCTGTCATAACTAGGTGCATAGATGCATAGGTGTAACACTGGACATCTTTGACATCACTCTTTATTCAGGAATACCTTGTGGGCTAATATGTGTTTTGGGCATTCGCCCCTCTTCTGTCGGCCACACAATAAATCATTTTCACCTATGTAATTTTTCGGGTTTTCACAAGTGCATGGTATGGAATAAACTGCATTAGCTAAACATACATAAAACTAAAAGGAAATTAGGTGCAAGACTTAAAGAACATATCACCAATTTGAAATATAGAAGAGTAAATTCAGTCTTTTATGAACATTGCACAATAAATAATTGCAATATTAACACAGAAAAAGTAAAGATTTTACATAAAGAAAAGAATTGTTACAACAGAAAAGAGAGTTTTGAAATTAAAAGAAGCCAAAAAAATAATATCAATAAAAATTTAAGTATAAAGATTCACGAAAACTGGTTTAAAACATTATAATAAAAAAAGATTGTTTTATTACATAAATTTTTTAAAACAAAATTTTTTTAACATGCCAACAAGATTAAGGAGAACCTGGTAAACATGGACATCACAAGTACTGTATAAGCTTAGTGCTGTTGAGAGTAATGCCAAGAAAATTTAACTGTAATAATTTTTAACCATAACAAATATAATTTTTAAGTAAGATATATATTTGTTAGCACCTTACAAGAGTAAAAGTATATTGTAACATATAATATAAAACATTTTGTGATATAAAAAAAATTCATGTCCATGTTTTATTATGTAGCCAACAGAAGACGGGCGAATGCCCAAAACACATATCGACCCACAAGATATTCCTGAATAAAGAATGATGTCAAAGATGCCCACTGTCTATCTATGCACCTAGTTGACAGAAAAAAAAAGAATACACGATTTCAGAATAAGCAAACTGGCTTTCATTGTGAAGATGTTTGAAAATGATGAACTGAAAAATGGCATTACTGAATGGTTCAAGACATTGACAATAGAATAAGGAAATTGGTGACATGATATCAAAAATATGTATATCTCTTTTGGTTATATTAAATTATTTTTGGTTATTTCTTATTTCTAAACGAACATTAGTTTAAAAGCATGCCTTGTATATTTGTATGCCTTCTTTTGAAAATATTGAAAAACAATCAAATTTATATTTTCTGATGCTGAAAGGTTCTGTAAAAAAATATATTTACTAATAAATCTGTCTGTAAGTAGGCTATTTAATATCTAGTAAGTCCTTATTTTATATGCCCATTGCTTGTAATTTATCATTTAGAAACAATCAATTTTATTTTTTTTAATGTAGTTAAAATTAGTATAAATTGAATATAAAATGTATTAACAATATATTAAATCAAATAACTTTCANATTGAAAGACAATCCCAGATACACTGCATTATTAGAAGTATTGTATACTATATATAAATGGCAATGTGCATATTCCTAAATTCATTTTTGAAGTTTCTTACTCTCAAAAAAACTGTCTGAAGTCAGCCACAATTTGACATTTTCTTTAGAATGTTGCACATAGTTTTTAAAAAACTCTTGGCATTCTTATAGATGCAACCCTCAAAGATATCTCCTTACAGAATTTGTGTAATTACTGTTTATGTACACCTATAAATTCGGTTTTTGAATTTATTATATAGAAATGTTCTTTGAAAGGTTTTAACTTTTATTATTTATAACTTCTTTAATGCAAACTAAAGAAATAGTTACACAATTTTTTTCACTCCAAAAGCTTGAATGACTTATAAAAATACTGCTTTATTGAAATCAAAAGGGTTAAAACAAAACACCTTCCTTAGGATAGGGGAAAAAGGACCGAAAATACTGAAAAGGCCTTTTTTCCATACCCAACATGGGTTTGTTAAAAGGACAGCTGGGTGTTGGAGACAGAGCCTTTGTATCCCGGACAAAAAATTCCTGAATTTCTTGCCCAATTCCTAGAGAGACAAGCTGGTGTCTTTACCAACTTGGTCATCTCTGTCCACTTTTGGACTTCTTAGATCTTTTGGAAAAATTCAAAAGCGGTAACAAAATTGTTTCATACCTTCATCAATTTGTCTCCTGTAACAGTATTTTTATAGTTCTTTTTATAGTATTTTGTATAATTTATTTCAGAGTTTTAAGTTCTTAAAATAAACTTTTCATCTGTTTACTAGAATTAGTCAATTTATTACTTTATACATTTTTAACTAATAATAATAAATATCGCTATTNTATGTTGACAAATATAAATACCTACAATGAAAAACAGCATATGAATAGCAATATAATAGATGAGAATCAACACTGTAAAATGTATTAACAATATATTAAATCAAATAACTTTCATATTTTATGCAAATTTTTATCATTAACAATTCAGAGAACTAATCCTTATAAATTGAGTCAAGAAAGTATAGAACCACCTTTTACATTCCCATTTTGTACCTGGCGATGACTCAAAAATAAAAAACATAACACGGTATGCATAGTTTATCTAAAAGTAATAAAAATGCAGGAAAACATGAAATTTTTGTCATGGTTAATTTTAAAAGCTATGCTGTAAGGAACCCTTTCAGACTGAATCTAAAAAGAATAGTGACACAGACAAATGTAATATTTACTGTGTACATTTGTACAATGCCACTTAGTTTATACTTATCTGAAAGAGACATAATTGATGCATTTTGCAAGTCTGAAATTGCTTTATCTTCATGACAATGGCATGACAGCTAAACCATCAAGTAATTTTGAATTTTATGAAGAACTCAACATTGTATGGAAACAAACATTCAGGACACCCATCAAATCCTTGCTGACAAGTAAAAAGAAAACAATAAAGGGAGCATCAAATTCTATTTAGATATTTTCTATATTAGCCAAGAAATCATTTGTCAGGTGCTCAAGGAAAGTTCCAACATGATGCAAGCTTAATTTGGACTTTACAATCTTTAAAATCTCAGAACAAAGTAGCAAGATTGGAATCTACTAGAAATAACTTAACATGAACTGCAAGTAGAATATGGTAGTATACTATCTTAATGTATTGTACTATGATTGACATTTAGTGTTATGTGTAATATAGAATTATATTTTTGATTACATCATTTTTATCAATGAAAAGAAATTTTCTTCGGGTGGACTTGATATTTTTAATTCATACTAACATGACTTCAGGAAGGAATCTCAATACTTTTCTAGGCAGAATTTTAGTGGAGAAATTGTATGGTTTCAGGTACTTTTTGGTGCTCTTGGCAAGCTCACACTGACATTTACACCTTCCAGGATGAATAGCATTGATATACCAACAAGAACTCCATAACATTGTGATGCCTTATTTACAAAGACTCCAGCAACAACTACTCATCTTCCAAGGCAATGCTCCTGTTCACAACAGCTTGGCTGGCCAACATCATCAATTCATATAATGGCCAGTGAATTCCCTAGATTGTAATCCAATGGACTTGTGTATCAGGATCTAAGCAAATAATTGGCAGTATGACACTAAATCAGCTAAAAGCAACAATTCTGTAAGTGCAAGAAGAAATTAAGGATCTTGTATTGAGTATGCCCAATTGTATTTTTGAGTTAATTATTAAATAAAAGTTTCTATTGTTTCATTCTGATTATGTTATATTTGTTTAAATAAAACTCTGAAGCATTGTGATGGTTTTGACATAACATTAAAGTTATTCAATATACCTATATGTTACATATTTTATCATGTTCCATATCTGTTGGTTGAACAATAGTTAAACCATGTATACAATGTTTATGAAAGTGATTCTATACTATCTGGATGCAGTGTATGTAGATTTGAATGTTAATAGATTAAATTATAAAATTTCGTTTTTATTATTACTAAAAAAAAGTAGACATACATTGTTTACTACTGATAATTCCACTTCCCAATGTATTAAATCTTATGCCATTTCTAGTCCTTTTCTTTTCTAGTACACTCTAAAATCAGTTAAATGAAATATTAAATTTCAGTAATAGATATTTTTATGAAATTAATTTATTAAATAAAAATCATATACCTTATATTTGGAAAGAGTTGCTGTAACCATTGCTTTTTCTTCTTGTACTTGTTTCAACCTTTCCTGGAGAAATCTGTAATATATATTAAAGTAATTAATGTAGTATTAAAGCAAATGTTATCAAAGATAATTGAATAATGAGACTTTTATCTTTTTTAACAATATATAATATTTTTCATACTATATTTAAAATAATTTCTTAGATAACCATTCAAAACAGACATGATTCTTGCATATAGCAAAATATACAGTGTCTTACACAGAATAAATTATGGTAAACATGAGCAAAATTTATATCATACCAGTGAAGTTTGTTATAGGGAAAAATGTATATTTGCAATGTTCTAATTTCATCAAAATTTGAATAAAACTATTTTCATTATCAGTAGAAATTCCAGTATTATTGTACATACAATTTTTGAGTGAGTTGTTAAATTCTCTGTTTGGAGTCATTTGGAATAAGCAAGACCTGCTATCAAACTTTGAAATTATTGAGTTCAAAAAACATATGTTGTACAGTTGTTCTTCCAAACAGTGAGATATATAGCACTGAAAACACTGTCTTTTCAACATTATAAGTGTTTAATAACAAAAAAAAAATGTTTTTACAAGTACTTTCAATCTTCTCAAAAATGTCTTCATTGAGTGAATAGCAAAAGAACCCGAATGTTATAAAATTTTAAACTTTTAACATTAGACCATTCTAGATAAAACAAGATTACAAAATTTAAATTTGAACACAAAGACAAATTGAATGCCGTGTATAGTCAACTTCGTAAAATGTATATTAGCACTACTTTACCATATGAAAAGGATTACATTGAAGTAGCAGCAGTCTTTCTTATATATTACTTCATTAAGGATTTATACAGTGTAACCTTCCATCTGATTCTCCATTTTTTTCTATTGGGGATATTTATTTGGAAAAACAATTAACATCAATCTGAAAATCCTCTTTAAAATCCGCAGGCTCGCAATAGCATTATTTATATACTCCCAACCCCCTAAGGATTGGAACAACATGGCAGGCGTGATGAGAGGACATAGTTCTAATTTGTGATGTATCTCACAATAAAGGCTGGTAGGCAACTATTTATTGCAAGATCTAGAATTGTATCTTGGAATCCTTCTCACTTTCTATTGTGAAGTTTAAAGAAGCATATCCCTTAGATAAAAGCTGTATGAATTGTGCTGGTTCATCAGCTGTCCAATCCCATGCTAACAAAATATCATCAACATATCTAATACATAATAATGGATTACTTGTTATAAGAGGTAAGAAAATACTATAAACTCAATGTTTCTCATAATTAGTTCAACTAGAACTGCTGAAAGGGGCAAACTCATTGCAACTCCTCAGCTTACCTCACAAACCAGCAAAATAAGAGGATTGGTTATAGAAATAGTCAAAAAATGTTCAAAAGGAAAAAATAAGTTGTGTACAGCATATTTATGAGAGTTCATTGTAAAGTCATCTAAATAGTTAATACAATAGTTAATGCTAAAAGATTAAGATTGCTAGAAGTTCTCTGTATTGGCAACTGTTTTGGACTTGCACCTGAAGCAAAAATCAGTTTTGCCTGAGTGCATATTACCATCAATTTGGCATTAATGAAATTAGACAGCCTTACAACTTTATATTGCTTTATTGTTCTTCAAATTCATAAAGTTTATTTTTTCAATCCAGTTCATAAAAAAAATTTGTCTTTTTGAAACAGTCTGTTGTAAATAACAGCAAATGAACATTTTATATTTATCAGTCAAATGTCAGCAACTAATACTGTATTTACTCAAATGTAAGATGTATTTTTTCAAGTTTTAGTATCTTTGAAAATAAGGTTAGTAAAGTTCAAAACACACACATATGTCACTTAAATTCAAAACGATATATATATTATCAATAAACATATGTACAGTTACAAAGTTCACAAAACAAACATTTACAAACGTTAATTATAACAAAGTTCAACACATGTATCCACTATCACAGGTCCGTCGAAAAGATACCTTGCAACGAACTAACTCTAAAGTCCTTTACAGCCCAACGAGACGAGACAAGCTTCAGGACCAGCTTAGGCAAACTAAGACCAAACGTGAGTTCACTTTCTGAGTCCACGGTGAACTAAACTTCCCGCCACAACTCAATCCTTTTATAGGATTGAAGCAGAATTGGATTCCACCAATCAGCATTTAGCAGCTCTACAAGACGTCCGCCGATGGTGTGATGTCTCTCAACCAATCAGTGGTCGAGTTTTCAAAAGTGGTCCGAGTGGTCCGATTGCTGTTCCTATGGCGACAACCGTCGTTAGTCGAATGATTGGAAAAGCGCGGAAAAACCGTGTGCCAGACGATTTTTATCCCAACAAGGTTCATCTTAGATTCAATGTAATATGCCATAATGGCAATTTCTAGTATCATGTTTCTCTGTAACTAGAAGTCACTAATTCCATTGTGTCATTTTAAATATGATTTTATTAGACTAATATTTAAGAGGTCAACTTAGCTCAATCTCATTAGCAGTGGTGATATTCAGCAGGTTCGCAGAGGTTCGGCCGAAACCGTTGTTAACATTTTCAAAGTTTTCCAAACTCGTTGTTAAACACATGTAACATTTCTCAGTGGTTTTGTTTCTTTTAAAAAATATATTAAAATATACATATTATACTCTGTAACACTACTAAACTAAAGTCTTATACTCCGTTCACCTTGGTGCAACCTCCATTGACCGTTTCAATCTCGACTGAAACGAGGTTCAATTGCGATCGACTCAAAGAGAGTTCTCGAAACTAGGTCCAGTCACACGAGAGATCCCACAATCCCACACGCGCAACAAAATACAAGATGATTGCGGAACAGGTGTCCGGCTATCGACAGCAAAATAAAAAAGATATTGTATTTCGAGAGACGATGACATCTATCTATTATTATAATAATACCTAATAATAAAATAAATGATTTAAAAAAGTTTTTTCTTGAGAAAAAGCCAATTTTTATGTTTATAAAATNTTTACAAAAAAAAATCTTATATTATTAATTGTTTTCGGATTGTCACCTGTGAACATTTTAGACTATTTTACATATTTGTGCAGAGCTGTAGCCTACAAAGAAAGGTCATCTCTGCAGTGAAGAATGGTTGTTCCAGGTGATTGGACATGGCGAGCAAGCAAGATACTAGTAATGCAATTTTACTTTATTAAATTGTAATTCGCGCCAGCTCTTTTTTACAAAAAAAATCTAACTTAAATTGTGGTTCTTTTTAAACCAGTGACTCCAAAGTGGGTGCTACTGCCCTCTTTAGGGTGATGATAAAAAATATATGCATCAGTAGTCTGAAAGGTTTGGAAAACACCATTTTAAATGAATTTAAGAAAAGCCACTTTTAAATTTCATTCTTTAGAAACACTTTGTCTGTATTATAATTTTGTTACATTGCATACCTCAGATATATCATCCTAGATTCCAGATAGATGCCATAACTCAAAAATGTTCACAAGTTAAAGCATTGCCTTTGTTTCCCTTATTGTCTTAAGCTATGTAATTAAAATTATCAATAAAAATGCAAAAAAATACAAAGGAACTATAACTCAAAAGTGAACATCTCAAGTTTGTGAAAGTGGAATTCAAAATATTATAGCTCATACTTGTATATTATAATATACAGAGAGATTACTAAAACAGTTGTAATGTTCTGTTTCGAATAAAACTAACACATTTTATTCTAAAAGTCTAAAGAATGATTTACTTACAAGGAGAGTGCATATGGTAGGAAATGCAAATCTAAATAAACTTTTGTTTGTTGGTGGTTCTACCCCAAGAACACACACAAAAGATTAGAGACAGCCATTCATCCAATAATAATTAACAAAAATAATTTTAGTGTTGTATTTCAGTGTAGTTTTATGGAGAGTTTGATAAGGATTACATTTCAAAGCACAGCAGGTAGCATGCTAAAATTTGTCTACTACAATGCTATCCTGATTTTGTATCTCAACGTTGCCAGAAACTTTCTTTTTTCAAACTTTAGTTAAAATAATATCTATTTAAGTCAAGAGTTCAAAAAAGGCTTTCTTATTTTTATAATAATGATTTTATTTTTACTTTTAATTAATGAAGGTTTTAAAACAGATAACAAATGGTATAAATAGAGAAGTCCTGTTCCACAGAAGAACAGAAATGATTTCCATTTCCTGTTTAGTGTACCTTTTATATCTAAAAGTTAACTAAAAATCACCATATTTAAGAAGTCAATTTAAACTTATTTTGTGTTGTGTTCATATTCTACAAAATTACAAATTTCAGAAGAAATTCTGTATTGTACCTGTAGGTTGAAGAATAGTTTGTCAAAAAAAAAAAAACTTGAAATACATTCCTAGAATAAAGATACAAATACAGTGAAATGTCAAAAATCTGAACATTGAAAAGTAGATATTAGCCTTTCAATGGTAATTTCATTACTGATGTTTAACTCATTCAGAATTTTTTAATTTTGGAATTATGATTAGTGAATCTTTTATTTAAATATAGCCATGCTGCAAATTATATTTTTGAATTTTTTAAATATCCCTACATTCAATGTGAAATACTGGCTTGAACTTAGAACACAAATCTGAATTAGTGTATTTAGTGAATTATAGTACATTATTACAGTATTAAGTACTGTAAACTCCAAATACATTGAATTCAATGTAATAATCCACTGTATTAGAGTATTTAAACTTTCAGGAAAAAATTGATTATACAGAAAGCATCAAAAATCTAGACTAATTGAAACTTGACCCTATCCTGATTTTAAAATATAGTATTAAATTATCATTTTAAGTTTATTTCACAATCCAGTAATTTATTTTATTGAACATTAAAATTATTCTTATATTTTAAAAATTTTAACTGATTAAAGTTGATAAATAAGTCAGAATAAATCAGAATCGATTAAATCATAATTTTAAAAAAATATCTGATTATAAATGATTTATTTGGTTATTTCTGATTAGGTTTCATAATTTCTGCTTTAATCATTTCATTAGAAATTATTTTAGAATTCCTTTATAACAAGTTATTAACTGCAAGTAATAA